ACTTATTTTCCACAAGCGACCTGGCCACAAATGATAGCTCAACAAAGTGGCACATCATTTGGACATTCACAGCACCAAAATAACCTAAGTAATCTCAATGTATGATTGTAAATGTGGAGGGAAACACCCGGAGAATAAAATCCACGCGACCACGGGGAGAGAGAAACGCAAACTCCAAATATACAGCAGCAGGTGTCATGGTCGGGATCGAACCCCCGACCTCCTGTACGCCAGGCGAGGTAGTTAACATCTCACCATCCTCTTCCCTCCGCTCGCCCCTCCACCCCTTCCCGGCCCGCCCCTCTCGTCCTTTCGTGACCCCTACGCGACCCCTCTATCGCGGACACCTATTCCTCAATCCCAGGGCGCTCCCGCCATCTATAAATCATTCAATTTCGCCACCGTTTTGTTGAACTATGGCAAGCGCCTTGGGTGAAGGGAGGCGCTCTATATAAGTAAAAAGTTGTCGGCATGCGCATTGTCCAACGGGCAACACGGGAGGCTAAGCCCTTGGGCAACACGCAAACAACAACAACGGCGCCCGCTACACGCCAGTAAGTAGCGGTGACGTCACCACGGCGCTTGTGCCAGGCCAAGTGCACGTTGACGCCGCGTGAAGTGTGGAAGGTTCGCTGTTGACAGGTCACGGGACAGACCCAGGTGCCATGGGTTGACTGACTGTGATGGCTCGCTGATGCATCACCTGTGCCCTCTACTGTGTCAACTCGATGGATTTGAGCCACCCGACGCTCCGCTCGTTGTTGTGAGCGTCGCTCCTCCGCCCTCCGTTGTTGTTGGAGGGCGACTGCCTCCAACTGCCCAGTAGCAGCGTCCTTCACGAGCCTCCTCCGCAGAGGCCGATCTTGACACCGCTGGTACCAGTCATCGGCAAGTCCACTCAGCTCCACGTCCTCCTGTACCACATCACTCCATCTCTTCTCCAGCCTGTGTCGCGCCCGTTTAGCCCCCTCGATCCGGCCGAACAAAAGCTGTTTCGGCATGCGTTGGCTGGGTCATGTAGCCCGTATGCCCTTGCCTGCCGGAGGAGCTCACCGATGGGACCTTGCCCAGATCTTTCAAGGATTTGTGAGCTCCTCACACAATACAGCCTAGTTAAACCCAAGATGGATCGTAGGCAGGCCAGTCTGAATGTCTATAACAGGTACAGATGTTCCATTGGGGGACTCCAAGTTTCACAAACATAGATAAGGGAGGGCATGGCGGTGGCCGAGAAGACCCGAAGCTTCGTGTAGAGCGACAGACCAGGTAGCTTCCACACAACAGTATTACGCAGCCGATGAAAAGATAATGCCGCCTGACTAATTCTGCTGTCAAACCGGAGCTGGTCAGAGCAGCTCACACTTTAAAAAACAAAGACACAGACAAAGATCCTCGTATAGTCTTAACAGACTATACGAAGGCCGGCACGGCACACGAGGGGGTGGGTGGACAACACCACGCCCGGCCACCATTATCACCGCGCCAGGTACTCATTTGAGGCTGAGTCGACCTAGGGGATGCCCAGGACCAGTTCAGATAATCGCCACTGGTGGTGTTGGTGGCCGTGAGCGAGAATCGAACTCAGGTCGCCGGGTTCGTAGCACAGCGTAGCGCTAACCGCTACGCCACCGCTCCCTCCCCCCGTCACACACGCACACGCTCACACGCACGCGCACGCTCACACACGCGTGAAGCGGGGAGCGAGTTTCGACTCCGAGTTTACATCGCGGCCGCTGGGATTTTTTGTTGTTTTTGTTGCTGCTGTTGTTGTGAAGCAATGGTTCGCGTTACGCGTCCGTAAAGTGAATTCATGGCGTGTGTACACAGCGGGCCCCTCCCTCCGGTCGGGGGCGGCTCCGTTATTTACGATTTCACCCCCCCCCCGCCGGCGAAGACCGCTCACTCCGCGCGGGGGGTCTCACGCGATGGCCTATGCGTCGTGGGGGGGTGGCGAGGGGGGGTGAGCCAGGTTGAGAGGCCACACCAACAGGGTCGGAGCTCGCGCGTCAAATCGTTTCGAGTTAAGGCCCCGCGTGACGGTGCTTGGAAGTTAAGGCCCCGCGTGACGGTGCTTGGAAGTTAAGGCCCCGCGTGACGGTGCTTGGAAGAGTTACCGACCGGCAGGGTACAACCGCCTCTGCGTGTTGCCGGTGACGGAACGTCGTCTCGTTTGTCAGGGCGTCCAGGCTGGAGGGGGGACAAAGACAAAGATCCCCCGTGTAGCCTTGACAGGCCATAGGGGCAAGTGCTGTTAGCGAGCACCTATGAAGGCCGGAACGGTACACGAGGGGATGGGTGGCCAGCACCACGCCCGACCGCCTTTGTCTCCCCAGTGGCGATGTTTACAACACCGCACCAGATACTCATTTCAGGCTGAGTTGACCTAGGGGAGGCCCAGGACCGGTTCGGATAATCGTCACTGGGTGTTGGCCGTGAGCGGGAATCGAACCCGGGTCGCCAGGTTGGTAGCGCAGCGCGCTAGCCGCTACACTACCGCTCCCCACGGAGGACACACACACACACGTGCATAGCAAAGCACGTGGCGACACGTGGAAACAACGAATATGAAACCGACGCGAACCTGCACGCAGCGCGTGACGTACGAATGCATCCGCACGTTCGTAAGCGTGACGGTGGTGACGGTGGGCACGAAAAGTCGCGCCGTTCGGTTCGTGAGTCACGAGCGAACGAGATGGTTACAATTCATGAACGCGTCGCGGGCGCTTCGTTCGTAAGTGCGGGATTTTCGTTAGGTCGGACGTTCGCATGTCGGGAAATTCCCTTGGACTGCAGGGCAGTTTTGTGCCCGGTCATTGCAGAGTGAAGTTGACATCGCCGTGCCCGCAGGGGTGGCCAATGGCCACTGCACATCGCGACCCTCCGACAACGCCATCTCTGGAGGTGGCGCAACAGCGGAACACACAGCGTGTGTCTGCGTGACACACAGCGTGTGTCTGCGTGGCACACAGCGTGTGTCTGCGTGGCACACAGCGTGTGTCTGCGTGGCACACGCGTGTCTGCGTGGCACACGCGTGTCTGCGTGGCACACGCGTGCGTCATGCACGCACACGCGTGTGCGTGCGTGACGCACGCTACGTTGGGATCGAACGCGTTCCTCGTACGATCAGCCCATTTTTACCGTCGTCTCGACGGGTCACCACCACCACTGGATGAACATTTTGCCATGCACGCAAATCGCTCGTCAAAACGTCATTTGACACCAAATATTCCCTGCATTAATCAGTGACGTAATCATCACCATCGTGATTAGGAGGAGCATTCTCTCAATCGCCTTCTTGGTTGGCGTGAGTTAAGCGCCTAACGGCAACCACGTCTAGTCAACGTTTTTATTGGCATCATCCATGATCAATCCACTGCTGTATGCACGTACGTTGAACCTCTTCCGCACCGTACGTAACGGGGGGGGGGGGGGGGGAGAGGAAGGACAAAAAACTAAACACAAAAAGCAGTTTCAAAGAAACGAGTTTTCAATCTCGATGTAAAAGTGCATCAGAGCTCCCAGTGGCTTCCTAATGTCGGTAGGAAGAGCGTTCCAGACGGCCGCAGAAGCGCGTCTGAAAGCGCCGCGCCAAACGCGGCGGCGACCGCCTCTTTGTTCGACGGTTAGTCCAAAGGGGCGGCATCCTGGATGAAGGCCTCCCGTCGCTATCGGCCATCTCATCGTTGGCCATGGCAAGAAGCCACCCAGCAACCAACCCGGCCGTCTCGCCTCTCCGGCCAACCCCGGTGTTCGTAAGTGCGGGTGTTCGTAAGTGCGGGTGTTCGTAAGTGCGGGTGTTCGTTAGTGCTGGTGTTCGTAAGTGCGGGTGTTCGTAAGTGCGGATGTTCGTAAGTGCGGGTATTCGTAAGTGCGGGTGTTCGTAAGTGCGGGTGTTCGTAAGTTCGGGTGTTCGTAAGTGCGGGTGTTCGTAAGTGCGGGTGTTCGTAAGTGCAGGTGTCCGTAAGTGCGGGTGTTCGTAAGTGCGGGTGTTCGTAAGTGCGGGTGTTCGTAAGTGCAGGTGTTCGTAAGTGCGGGTGTCCGTAAGTGCGGGTGTTCGTCAGTGCGGGTGTTCGTAAGTGCGGGTGTTCGTAAGTGCGGGTGTTCGTAAGTGCAGGTGTTCGTAAGTGCGGGTGTCCGTAAGTTGGGCGTTGGCTGGAATCCTCCGGATCCATCTGGAGGATTCTCTACCCAGGACGACGGCCGCCGGCGAACTCATCACCCCTCGCCCACCCCCTCCTCCCCCTCCACACCCCCTCTCCTCCCCCATCTCCCACCCCCTCTCCTCCCCCATCTCCCACCCCCTCTCCTCCCCCATCTCCCACCACCTCGCCCCCCAACCCCTCTCCTCGCCTCTCTCCTCCCCCCTCTCCCACCCCCTCTCGAACCCATGCCTTCCTGTACAGCAGGCGAGGGAGTTAACATCTCATAGCCACCGTGATTATGATGAGAGAGACGTGCAAACTCTCAATATACAGCAGCAGGCATCGTCAGGGTCGGGATTGAACCCACGACCTCCTGTACAGCAGGCGAGGGAGTTAACATCTCATAGCCACCGTGATGATGAGAGAGAGAGAGACACCGCAAACTCTAAATATACAGCAGGCATCGTCAGGGTCGGGATTAAACCCACGACCTCCTGTACACCAGGCGAGGGAGTTAACATCTTATAGCCACCGTGATTATGATAAGAGAGAGAGAGACACCGCAAACTCTAAATATACAGCAGCAGGCATCGTCAGGGTCGAGATTGAACCCACGACCTCCTGCACACCAGGCGAAGGAGTTAACATCTCATAGCCACCGTGATGATGATGAGAGAGAGAGAGATGCGCAAACTCTAAATATACAGCAGCAGGCATCGTCAGGGTCGGGATTGAACCCACGACCTCCTGTACACCAGGCGAGGGAGTTAACATCACATAGCCACCCCGGTTCCGTTCCTCCACAGGGGTAGCCCCCCCGCCTCCACCCCCCCCCCCTCGCCCCAGGAGGCACTCACTGCGCTGCATGGCCCTGCCGAACACGGAGTGGTCGCGCTCCAGTGTGCTGCAGTTCCAGCGGTGGTGGCGGAACTGGTGCTGACACTCGTGGATCCAGTCGAGGGCACCCTCGGCCAGGCTGCGCATCACGTCGGGCTGCTTCTGGCAGATCTGCCGCTGCTTGCCCACGAGGCCCGGGATGTTGTCGCAGATGACGCGGGCACCCAGGGCACCGATGAACCTGTGACGCGGGAGGGGGGGGAGTGGGAGAGAGTGGGAGAGAGAGAGTGAGAGAGAGTGACAGTGTGAGAGAGAGAGAGTGTGTGAGAGAGAGTGAGAGAGTGAGAGAGTGTGAGAGAGAGAGTGTGAGAGGGTGTGAGAGAGAGAGAGTGAGAGAGAAAGAGAGTGTGAGAGAGAGTGAGAGAGTGAGAGAGTGTGAGAGAGTGTGAGAGAGTGTGAGAGTGTGAGAGAGTGAGAGAGTGTGAGAGAGAGAGTGTGAGAGAGTGTGAGAGAGTGTGAGAGAGTGTGAGAGAGAGTGTGAGAGAGTGTGAGAGAGAGAGTGTGAGAGAGACTTTTGACTTTTTAAACCAATTTTATTGCTGCCAGCGGCACCAGCTCTGGTGCCACTTTCGATGCGGGGTCACCAACATCGAGTACAGCGACGTCGCCATTGCGCAATCGGCACGTACACCACACCGCCACGTGCACCACACCACCACGAGCGCCACACCGCCACGTGATCCACACCGCCACGAGCGCCACACCGCCACGTGCGCCACACCGCCACGTGATCCACACCGCCACGTGATCCACACCGCCACGTGATCCACCCCGCCACGTAATCCACACCGCCACGTGCGCCACACCGCCACGTGATCCACACCGCCACGTGATCCACACCGCCACGTGCGCCACACCGCCACGTGATCCACACCGCCACGTGCGCCACACCGCCACGTGCGCCACACCGCCACGTGATCCACACCGCCACGTGCGCCACACCGCCACGTGCGCCACACCGCCACGTGATCCACACCGCCACGTGCGCCACACCGCCACGTGCGCCACACCGCCACGTGATCCACACCGCCACGTGCGCCACACCGCCACGTGATCCACACCGCCACGTGCGCCACACCGCCACGTGATCCACACCGCCACGTGATCCACACCGCCACGTGCGCCACACCGCGGCACGTGCAACGCGAGCGCCGCGTCGTCACGCACCATCGCCCGCTTAAAGTCGACCGGTCAAAACGTGAAAGTCAGTGCACCGTTTGTGTTGGTGCAGAGGGCCTGACCGCCCCCCCCCCCCCCCCCCCCCCCCAACGTTCAAGGAGATTGTGAGAGAGAGAGAGTGTGAGAGAGAGAGTGTGAGAGAGTGTGGGTGTGAGAGAGAGACAGCGTGAGAGGGAGTGGGAGAGAGAGAGAGAGTGTGAGAGAGAGAGTGTGAGAGAGTGTGGGTGTGAGAGAGAGACAGCGTGAGAGGGAGTGGGAGAGAGAGAGAGAGTGTGAGAGAGTGTGGGTGTGAGAGAGAGAGAGAGTGTGAGAGAGTGTGGGTGTGAGAGAGAGAGAGAGACCGCGTGAGAGGGAGTGGGAGAGAGAGTGTGTGAGAGAAAGAGTGTGAGAGAGATAATGTGAGAGAGTGAGAGAGAGTGTGAGAGAGAGAGAGTGAGAGTGTGGGTGTGAGAAGGAGAGAGACAGCGTGAGAGGGAGTGGGAGAGAGAGATAGTGTGAGAGAGAGTGTGTGAGAGAGATAATGTGAGAGAGTGAGAGAGAGTGTGAGAGAGTGTGAGTGAGAGTGTGAGAGAGAGTGTGAGAGTGTGAGAGAGAGAGTTTGAGAGTGTGAGTGAGAGTGTGAGTGACAGTGCGAGTGACAGTGTGAGTGAGAGTGTGTCCGGAATTTGGCGAACGCGGAGACGGGAACAATCGCTTCCTCTGCCACCTCCACGTGCGTTGTGTTGACAACACTAGCCCCCCCCCCCCCCCCCCCACTCGCTCACCCCTGGTTGTTGTGTAAACATCACCACTCGGAAAGACAAAGGCGGTCAGGCGTGGTCTGACCACACCACCCCCATAATGTGCCGTGACGGCCTTCATAGTTGCTCGCTAACAGCACTTGCCCCAAATGTCTGTGAAGGCTACACCGGGGATCTTTGTATTTGTGTGTGTGGATGTGTGTGTGTGGATGTGTGTGTGGATGTATGTGGATGTGTGTATGTGGATGTGTGTGTGGATGTGTGTATGTGGATGTGTGTATGTGGATGTGTGTGTGGATGTGTGTGTGGATGTGTGTGGATGTGTGTGTGTGTGGATGTGTGTGTGTGGATGTGCCCGAGTTGGTCATGATGCTGGCACCTGGTCTGGAGTGATTGGAGGGCATGGGCCAGATCAGCTCAATAACAACGGTAGGAGGCTGTAGATTTTTGTGCAGCCCATGGGCTTGTAATTACCAACACGCTGTTCCGGCATCGGCGCATCCACACAACATCATGGATGCATGCCGGGTCCAAGCAAGAACATCTGCTGGACTACATAGTGACGGACCAGCGGATGCGAGCCCATGTCCTTGACACGAGGACCTACCGTGGAGCTGATCTGCCCTCTGACCATCTACTAGTCATCTGTAAGATGCGCCTGCCATTCTTCAACTCCGGTATAGACCCAGGACCCCATTCCAACCTCAAGTGGCCTGGTCTCAGTTATCTGATGAAAGTTGCAAGCGAGAATTTCATCATCGCTTGCGGCTGGCATTGGCATCGTCCCCGACTCCTCCTGATGTCGAGAGTAAATGGGCGAGGTTTAGGACTGACTCATGCAGCTGCAATGGCTGCTTTGGGTACGCGGTCCAGACCTCCCCAGAGATCCTGGCTGACAGAGGAGGTGTTCAGGATGGTTGAGAAAAAGCGACAGGCCCACTGTCATCGGCTACAGAATCCCACGTCAGAGAATGAGGAGGCTTACCGCAGCCTTCGCTCGGAGGTTCGGAGAGCCGTGAGGCACTGCAAGGATGGGTGGTGGTCGCGGGTTGCCGAGGAGATGGAGTTTGCCTCAGTGGCCCGCGATCACAAATCTCTATTTAACTCCATAAAAAAAGTAACCTGCAGCGCCACACCTATTACCATCATGAGGGGAAAAAACGGTGATCCAATCTCCAACCCCCAGGAACAGGTTTGCAGATTTGCTGAGCATTTCTGTGAGGTCCTGGGGGAGTAAAAATCCCTCAGCCAGGAAAACATCGTGGCACAAAGTGAGGATGACCCTGCTGAGGCTGCGGTGCCTCAAATATTGGAAGAAGTCACCCCTTGTGAGTGGCTGGCTGAGGTGCCATCTGTTGAGGAAGTACTGAAGGCGATCCGGAGTCTGAGACCAGGAAAGGCAGCGGGCAGAGATGATCTCCTAAGCTAAGTGCTGAGGGAGGGTGGCGTTTGTGCACAGACTGCCCTATATGACATCATAAAAACAGTCTGGACCACTGGACGGGTTCCACAGGATTGGATGGATGCCCTGGTGGTCCCCCTCTTTAAGAAGGGGGACCGCACAGAATGTAACAACTACAGGGGCATCTCACTCCTCAGTGCGCCGGGAAAGGTCCTGGCAAGGATTATTCAACATCGCCTTGCCAGGCACGCTGAGGAGAGGCTTGCGGAGCCCCAATGCGGTTTCAGGAAAGGGCGGTCCTGCACAGATGCCATATTTTCTGTCCGTCTGCTACAGCAGAGGTGTAGGGAATTCCAGCAAGACCTACATCTCTGCTTTATTGACCTCTTTAAGGCCTATGATACCATCAGTAGGTCTGGGCTCTGGGTTGTTCTTCGTGCTTTTGGAGTACCTGACCCTCTGCTCACGATCATTAAGGACATTCATGATGGTGAGCGGGCCCGGGTATAACTACGTGGCCGGGAGTCAGAGCCATTCCCTGTACACCTTGGGGTGCGACAGGGATGTCCTCTGGCTCCCACATTATTTAACATCTATTTTGACCACGTAGTTCGTGAAGCCTTCAATAGCTGTACCGGGGGAATCTCCATATGGTACAGATATAATGGGAGGCTGATCGATGCCCGGGTGCGGTCAAGGGATGGCTCCCTATTGCTCAACCACGTTATGTATGCCGATGATTTGGTAATAGCCGCTCATTCAAAGGAGGAGTTGGAGACGCTGCTGCTGAGACTGAAACGTGCCACTAAGAGATGTTGTTGTCGTTGTTGTTGTTGTTGTCGTTGTTGTTGTTGTCGAACTTCCTTCGCGCCCGTAAGGACTTCAAGGGCGACCATGATGGAAGCCTGCAGTGACGCACGCCGCTCGTCACTGCCAACGCGCTTGGAGGCTTCGAGAGCCTCGACGTTTTTCAGTGGTGGAAATTCCACGTTCCTATGACGGCTGGTGGGGGGGCGGGGGTCGGTGTGCGAGTCGAACAACCACTGCTGGTTGACTTCCCTACAAATCGAAACGATTGTTTTTGTTGGTATTTGACCAAATAAGGCCCAGTGAGCTGTATAGCTTTTTTTTCAGAAGCGACCTCACCGCAATTGATAGCTCAACGACACGAGGGGGGGGGGGCTTATCGTCATCGTGTGGACATTTCATAGATAGCAGACAAATTCTCTAAACGCCTGATGTTGGTTGTGAATGTGGATCCGGAGAAAAATCCACGCGACCACGGGGAGAGTGAGAGACACCGCAAAGCATGCGTCAGGGATCGGGATCGAACCCACGACCCCTGTATACCGGGCGAGGTAGTTAACATCTCCTAGCCACCGTGGTGATGATGAGAGAGAGAGAGACACACAACACTAACACTCACTCCTTCAACACTAACACTCACTCCTGCAACACTCACTCCCTCAACACTCACACACACTCCTTCATCACTCACACTCAACACTCACACTCACTCACACTCACTCACTCACTCACACTCACTCCTTCATCACTCACACTCAACACTCACTCCTTAAACACTCACTCCTGCAACACTCACTCCCTCAACACTCACATACACTCCTTCAACACTCACTCCTTTAACACTCACACACACTCCTTCAACACTCACTCCTTCATCACTCACTCCTTCAACACTCACTCCTTAAAGACTCACACACACTCCTTAAACACTCACACTCACTCCTTCAACACTCACTCCCTCAACACTCACATACACTCCTTCAACACTCACACTCACTCCTTCAACACTCACACTCACTCCTTCAACACTCACACACACTCCTTCAATAC